TATATATATATATATATATATATATAACTGAATTGGTTAGCTGGAAGAAGGGAAATGTCCAGCGGTTAAAATGTGCATGTGTTCCCTTCTTCAACTAAATATTCTCAATATTCTCTCTTGAACCATGATTTTCATATTCATTGCCATGACATCACTAGGCTTGTTACTTCATTAGATTGCCATCAGCCTTACTAATTCCTTTGCATATGTTTTGCCACCTCTGTACTGCAACAGGAAGTATTTTTATATCACTTCATATTCCTAGCCAGTCATTCCCTAAACACTTCTCTCAGAGTAACAACGCTGACTTGCTGGTATAAAGAGGACATACTTTTACGCTACTGCAAATATCTGACCAGCTTTGTGGTGTTTATTCCCTAGTGCTGCTACTCATATCATGTGCTGAGACATAATAAAACATTAATTCATACAGAATTGGGAGAACTTGGATCCCCATATAATAGCATAGTGAACCATGATAACTGTAAGATTTTGTATACCACATCTGTCATCTGGAGTAATTGGGTATAACTACTTCTGGCTGATATCATCATGGAAAACAGCATGTTTGAAGACTCATTCAAAAGCTGCTGACATACCAAAGCAATCATCTTGTAGAAAGTGAACGAGAAGAAAAATCTTAAATTATATAATTTACATTCATACATATGCACCAAACACACTCCTGCATTATGCAGGTAAGAGTGTTTCTCCACACTGCTAGTGGAAAAAAAAAATTATTCAGTTAAATTTTGTTAAACCATATTGTTCCCCCTGTGTCTGAAGCACTTGGCCTTTAACATTTAACTCTACACCAGCAGCCAATGCATTAATAACTTCTATACTCAGTACAATTGATTCAGTTAAAATATCTGCAATTAATCTACAATTCAAACAACCTGTAAAGAAAAATCTGTCAATATGTCAACATACCTGGTAAGTTGGGAAGAATTTGACTTTTACTTCTGTTGAAGCCTCTCCTATTGTTTTCCCTTCTAGTAGTGTCATTATAAAAAAGAAACACACCATAGCAAATGGGGTGTAACAAATTTGTTCAACAAGTGCCTGAAAACAGTCACCTCTGATTAATAAAATTTTCATAGCAGAATCCCAAGTTTTACAGTATATTAAGATAATTTCACTCACTCATGGAGCTGAGCCCTTCTTGAGAAACCACAAATTATGCAGCTATTCAAGAACTTCCCAGCATTTTGATATTAAGATAATCCGTGAAGATAAAATATGCAAACCACATGAATAAAAAAGGAGAGAGCAATTTTTAGAATAAGGAATTAGACATAATTATGACTTCTCATATTGTAACTCAAATATCTCCTAACATCAGTACATCTTAAATTATAAAGTAATGCCTCTTCATTCTTACCTACACATAAACAAGACCCATGTGTGTCAGAAAACAACTTCCTTCACAATTCTCGATTGAAATTTAATTACTTGAAGATAACAACAGTAAAGAACCAAGGGCATGTCAGTCATAGGAGAGGAATACAAAGGGTATTTTGGTAGGATAACTTGAAGGATCTGTTGGGGATACAAATAGAATATTTAGATGGATGTTGGGAGAAATGGAGCCAAGGGGGTGGGGCGTGGACAGGAATCATTTATTATTATATTTATTGGAGTGAGAGACCATTTGGTACATTGGCTAGTTTTAGCTTATTGTACCAATCCTAGATGACGGTGATTGTAGAGCAGTTGGTGGAACGAAGATTGGCAGGGGAAATTGAATTACGTACTTGGAGAAAATCTGTCCAAGTGCCACATTGTGTCCACCACAAATCCCACATGACGAGGTCCGGGAAGCTAGCGCAGGAGTTGTGTAGTTCAGAATAAGGGACAATGAGTTCTGTGAGAATAATGCAATGAGATCGCAGGTGCCATGAAATGATAATTTCTTTGGTCACTGAGCAGCTGTTTGCAGAGAGTGAGCACAATGAACTTAGTCCTGATGTATGCCATCAATGCAGAATTCCGTACCTGTAGGCAATAATGAATTTCATGGCCGTAAACGTACAGGTAGGCAGCTATAAGATGCAGTGGAGATTTCTCTGCAGTCAGGGACCCTACAACAGCGCGTATAAGTTTGAGGCAAATACCCACGTTTCGAAACTGCTGCGCATAGAAATCAAAGTTCTTTGCAACAACACCAATATCCCAAGGGGTAGAGCGGTCAGCAACCAGAAGCCACAGAAGATTGTGAAAATGCAAATGTTCGGAATACTGGATAAGGCAAAGCCCAACAGAACACGAGGATTAAATTTTGCTGTGGTGAAGCTTATGATCGTTGAGGTGACTAAATTTCCGGTCTCTTCAAAACTTCCTCTTCTCTAAGTATAATTAGAATGATCAAGTCAAGAAGGATGAGGTGGGCAGGTCATGTAGCATGAATGGGGGAGACGAGGAATGCGTATAGGATATTGGTGGGAAAGCCAGAAGGAAAGAGACCACAGGGAAGACCAAGGTGTAGGTGGGTGGACAATATTAGAATGGATCTTAGAGAGACAGGATGGGATGGTATGGATTGGATAGATCTGGCTCAGGATAGGGACCAGTGGAGGGCTCTTGTGAACACAGTGATGAACCTTCAGGTTCCATAGAATGCTGGGAAATTCTTGAGTAGCTGCAGAATTGGCGGCTCCTCCAGAAGGGCTCAGCTCCATGAGTAAGTAAGTAAGTAAGTAAATTGCCGGTCTAGCGTGAGCTAATGAAAATAAGGCAGAATTTGTTGTGGACTGACAGGGGGCTTATATGTATTGCCAAAAAAGGCCATATGCAGTATATATGTATAGTTCTCAAGGTCGTGACATGCACTTTAGAAGAGGAAGGACGAAATATAGAAAGTAAATAACTGTGACAAGTGATCAACCCCCATCTTGTCATCAGAAATGGTTCCTATTAAAGGCCAAACAGTGAAGCTACTTCAAGACCAAGATCTGGTAAAGAGCGTTTGAATGGGCTCTAAATTAAGAGAAACTGACTGGCCAACTGTCAGTCGTAAAATTACTTTGAAACAAAGCAAGAAGTAAAGAGGAATTTTCTAAAGGTAGAAACGAAGCAGTAGGATATGTGAAAGACGAAAGCGAATAGTTGTCATAACCATGGCGGTCCTTTGGTAAGGCACTGGCGTATGGCTTACAAGATATGTGGTTTGAAGACATGACTATTTTTGTGAGAAAAAAATTAAGAAATTTGTGCATGTAGGAAGCAAGTCGTACTATATGAGGAAAGTGAAGGTAACAGATTTGTATAGATCTGGTAGTACATGGGTAAGACATTGGCGTAGTATTGGGAAGGTACCAGGTTCGAGACCACAGTGTCTTTTGTCAATAGAAATGGAAAAGTTAATAAAAAATACGATTTTTCTGCACTGTCACTGGACAACCACTGTCCAAGTCCAAGTCACATTGCACCTGACGGTCATTCAGTCAAAGTGCTTGGTGTCGAGCCCCATCTGGGGTTCATGACCAGATATTTATAACTGTTTGGCATTTACTGTTTTCTTTTGTGGGTTGGCCTCTCTGATGAGAGGACAGGTGTGCCTTTTGTATATACTTCTGGGCCTTGCCAGTGCAGTCTTTCTCGGGCCTGAGTCCCTTCGGATTCCCAACCATATTTAACCGTCTTAGATTTGAGACTCCGATTTTCATCACCTCAGACTATAAAGACCTGAGACCAGGCTAAGACCATGAGAGCTAACAGGATAGATATTCACTAAAAATTGTTCCAAGCACGCATGAGCTTGGAACCAGGATAGATAGGGAAGTAGAAATTTATGCCTTGAAACCAAACTAATCACTAAGTCCATGAACCCCTAAGCATGGAATAGAAAGTGAAGCATGCGTGAAGCCAGTGTGACATCGTTGCGGAACTTAATTTCGATGATTTGTAGTACTTCGTCGACTGGTACATTAGTGAAGAGACTGATGACGTCAAGACTAACGAGAGTATCTCGAGAATGAAGGTTAACCGTCTTCAATAACTGTATGAAGTGCCCCGAATTCTTAACGAAGGAGTCGGATTTACCACCAAAAGGACTGAGTATTGTATGGAGAAAGCCAGCCAGTACATAGCAAGGGGAGCCTCAGGGGAATGTCTGGTTTGTGAATCTTGGGAAGACCATATAGATGAGGAGGTCTACTGTGGTATGGAGTCAACTTGTATTTTAGATCAGTCGGAAGAGTAGTTTTGTATTTAGAAAGGAGTTTCTGTACTTTCCTCTCAACCTTAGCTGTAGGGTCTTTGGGCAAGGTTTCATAAACCCTGGACTCTAGCAACGTGTTTAACTTATCCTTGTATTCAGATTCGTCCAACACCACTTTGCAGTTGCCTTTATCTGCCTGAAGAATCCTAATATCCTTGTTAAGCCTCAAAGATTTCACGGCTTTCAGTTCCTTCATGGTCATGTTAGGCCTGGAAGACTTAGATTTATCTAGTATGGACCTAAACTTCCACCTGAATTCCATGCTCTTAGTCTGTGGAAGCTTGGAAACAACAGATTCCACCGCACATGCCATATCCAGGTTCGAGTGTGGAAGCGTTATCGAAAAATTCAAACCCTTCATAAAGACTGCTTCCTCAGAGTCCGTTAAAACATATTTAGATAGATTGAGGATGAATTTCTTAGATGCCGAGGCTGGGGTAGAAGAGGCTCTATTTTGTTGACTGTTGAGATGGGAAAACTTGCAAATACGAATATCTTTCTGCTTACTGATGATTTTCTTGAATGAACTTTCCACAGCAGTGAAGATATGCTGTTGGTCGGAACTATTTACAGATGACTTGAGAAAATCCTCCGGTTGATGGATTTCATATAGTTGGGAAGTCTTCTTCTGTCAATGATAGTGTAACCTATCCCTGAGAAGTGCATCACTGGCACATATGGCAATTTTGGAGGAGCGTCGACTATTGAAGGAAGTTCTCACAGAGAAGGCTTTGGGGATGATGTCCCGAGATTTGCATCTCCTGAGGAAAATTATATGACTGAGGGTTTTAGCTAACTGAATTTTCAGGTGTTCTAATTTTCTAAAGGAAGGATAAAACCAGGTCCATACCAGTTGTAAAAGAAGATACTATACGGTTCTGATGATGGTGTGTAACACACACAGAGATACTGGGTTTTCGGACTTTGTCCATCATCTGGATTTTTTAAAAAACACAACGTTTCAGAAACTGGATCTGTTTCTGTTCTCAGATGAGGGAAGACACTTACTCTGTTGTGTTTTTAAAAAATCCAGACGATGGACAGAGCCTGAAAACGTAGTTTCTCTCTGTGTTATACACCATCATCAGAACCGTACAGTCTACTTATGGAAACTCAATGTTAAAATTCCAATGCTGCATTCAGATTGTAGTGTTGTAGCAGGAATGTTGGTCGTTGCCTACGAAATCAACTCTTATCTCCTCAACCATTCTGGCTTTCTGGCACGCCACAATATGCTTGGTCTTGTCTCTTAAGAATACTCTTGGCCTTTCACCAGGTGAAGCAAAAATTGTACACCTTATAGAAACCCATGAAGAATCTGTCAGATCATACTGATCTTACCTGTGAGCTGCTAACGTCATGGCTGATAAGTGGGATCCAGAGGGGAGAAATGTCCAAACTGGGTTGGCTAATTGGATTGGTTAAGCATGCCACATGGGTCGATTCCTTGTATTTCCTATACCGCCTCTTACTTTCTATTTCCAAAATCCTAGATTCATCCCAGTCTACCATATGATCTCCTTCATAGGCACGTTGGGCTAATTTTGATTTTTCTAGAAGACCTTCTCTAAGATTATGCCTGTGTTCATGAAGCTGCCTGGCTAGAGGTCGGCTTGTTTAGCCAATATGTCGTTTGCCACATTCACAGGGAATGCTATAGACACATTGTGGTGTCTGTTGTGAATCTCTTTCTGGCCTGATTTTTATGAATGAACTCCAAAGAGCATGTTTAGTTTGGAAGATCATTCTAATGTTATATTGAGTCCCTACACATTGAACTTTTCTGAAACTTCTTTACATATGGGGTATACACAGAGCCAAGAGGATTTTTCGTTGTATTCTGAGGGCTGCTACCCTTGGAATTATTAACTGTGTCAATGAAATCTTGGAGATAACTGTTGAGCTGAAGATCACATCTCAGGTTACTAATTTCATTAAACAGATCTTGTACTTCCTGTCATATAGTGGAAGCTCTATTGTGAAGACTCGGAACTAAACCCCTTTCACATGTTATGGATAGTTAGATTTGAAGTTGAGATATTGGCTAGTGTGGGTGGGGTTCCTGTAAATTTTGGTGGCCAGTGCCATCCCTTTCCTGATGACCAGAACATTGCACCAAACTAACCGATATCTAAACGGTGATGATTTGAAAAGGCATTTGCCAAATACCATTGAGAAGTGTTGCTTAAGCAACATGCAAGGTGTGAAGAATGTGAGGCAACAAAGTAAATAGCTCCATGGAGTAGAGTCTTCCTTGAGATGCTACTAATTGTTAAGTTTGTCAAAAAATACCCTTCCTTTTATGAAACCCAGAGGTTCATTACCACATTCACAGGAACCCACTAGCAATCAGTGTACTGAGTCAGGTGATTCCTGTTCACATCATCACTTCTTTGAGATCAATTTTAAATTACCTTTCTATCTATATTCCTCCAAGTGACCATTTCCTTTCTGAACTTCCAAACAAAATCATGTATGCGTTTGAGATAACTAATTGTAAGAGTAATGTAAACTAAGGCAGTTTACCAACACCAAACTGTACTAATAATTTTGTACTATTAAAGCTCTGAAATGATGTATGTGTGTATATATACATATGACTCCACAGAAGGAAATCGAATGATATATTCATAAACAGTTCCCAATATGGTATGACTTACCTTGGCAATTGCTGATTTGAAGTTTAGTTCAGGCCACATGTTGGCAGCTAGCCTAAGCCATCCATGCAGGGTTGGAGCCACAAAACAACTGCCATATAAGCAGAACCTTAGTGCTTCAGCAAAATCCCATTCTTTGTTTCCACGTATGGCCTGCTGACATAAGTTGGAAATAGGCCAAGTAAGAGAGTATGCAATCATTCCCCGAGTAAGAGGATATTTCTTAGTGAAGTCATTTAGTTTGGTGAGATACGTCCGGGCATTATTTCTGCCAGTTATTGATCCTCTGGTTGAAAATGTGGCCATACTCTTGAAAGGAATTTTCTTGTAGAAGATTAAAAATAAAACCATTTTAAAACTGTAATAAGAATTTCCTAAAAGTATCGTTTTGTTATACCATTTTTGCGATGATCTGAATATCCTGAAAAATGCATAAACATAATGTATATTAATAAAACAATAATTCTTGTTATGGTACTTCTGACTTATGCTGCTAATTGAGAGAATTTTTTAGAAAAGAACTGAAGATTCAAATTTGTTTACATGAGTACTTTGATATCCACATTCTTATGAGTTCCTTGTACAAAATATATAAAATAAATGAAGAAAGGAATGGTCTGTCAGTTCATACGAATTATTTTTGACAGTACTAAGCAGATTTCGATTAAATTTGTTAATGAAGTCTATATTAAATAAGGAAATTTAATTTGGCCTTAATGAATTCTGTTTTATGTTACATGCAAATTCTTAGTAGCTTGCAATATGAAGTAGTGAAAATAGATGAAGTCTGATTTGAACTTCATGCAAAGTAAGGTTGATATTCCATTGATAAGAACCAAAATTGAATTTGCTCACACAAAATTTTAGCATTGGCTTCCCAGTACCAAATTTAATCTAAATCTGATAAGTAATTCTCAAACCTCTTTATTACAACCGTCACAACACAACAAATATCAAGATCAGTGCCTAGTTTCCGCTCTGCTACATGTTTCGGCTATCAGTAGCCATCATAAGGCAAATACATGGTTAACAACTGAACCGCAGTACCAGTAAAATTGGATACAATATTATTAATTATATAAAACACTTGACATAAAATACAATAAATAATATTATATAAAACAGAAGTTATAGTATAAAACAAGAATAATATTCTTAGATTGATGTTTTATATCAATGAATCAGTCGTTGGTTTTGTAATTTCGTTGTGTTCCCACGGACAAATTGGAATATTCTATATTTTGTGTATATCAAATTGTATAGGCGGCTCATGATGTATATGTAGTAAATGTTAATTGTTTAGTTGGTGCCTCATCTTACAAAGTATTGTCCGTTCTGTAAGGAATGTAAACAACGAATGTAGGAGTCGTTGTTTACATTCCCTACAGAACCGAAACCCAGCACCCACCACGTAGGGGCTGTTCCCAAAAACATCATCTCTTTTATTAATGAGATCTGCCCTCATATAACTTAGAAGCTGCATACAGTTTCAATTATGATAATCATGACTGTTACAGTGATGCAGATAGCGAGTGAAATAATTCATTAGAGTATTTCTTAATTATTCCACTGAATTTCGGAAGTAAATACATCCAGCTAATTTCCCGTCTTGTGGAGCTCTGAATACGTTGGTGCTGTAACTCCATGGTTTTTAATCCGCAAGGGAACTATACCGACCGAGCGACCGCCGCTTGTTGGCGAAGTTACTGTTAACTTTAGGATACAAGATGTCGCATGGTCAGCGCAACGAATGCCCAAGGCCGTTAATTTTGGTTTTCTAGACCGGAGCCGCTATTTCCTTGAAACTGCTCCTCAATTATCGTCACGAGGCTGAGTGGACCCCCGTTCCAGACCCACTACTTCTCAGAAAACCTGTAAGGGCCGGGCATCGAACCCGGACTTCTGGATCTGTAGCCAGGAACTCTGACCACTAGACGGTGAGTTTTGAAAATCTAAAAAAAGTTAATATACTTCCAGTCACCGAGCTACAACCCGCGACCAGCATTCATGTTGGTATTGGAGAGGGTGGTTTTCCCCATGCACTTAGACCAGATATTGGTCCATTGTGCGTCCCCCTGTGATATTCTACCAGTCTCTATACCCTACCGGTACTGGTGCGTGCCATCAGTACCGACTCAGCCAGCGAGTTCGGCCTCTAATGGCTCAGCGGTATCTCGATGCTTCCTCCATCTACCAGAGGCGTTAGAGACTACTGTTGGGCGGGAAATGTCCTGAATTTGGCTCAGAGGTCCTCTTGAGACATGAGGTTCTTTTACGTGCCGTAAAGCTACGACACGGGACCCAGGGCTTAAAGTCCCTCCCGGAGGACTTGTTCCCTGAATTTTTCAGCCCTTAAAAATTCCACGACCTCCGCCGGGTTTGAACCCGCATACCTTGAGTCATGAGGTGGGAACGTTACCCCTTCACTACGGAGGCCGCTAGCATTCATGTTAATAAATAGTATTAGTGGATCTGTATCATGATATAGATACTTTAGACAGAACCCAGTTAAACAGCCAGAAAACAGTATCTTGTCAAACGGAACTGCATCAATAGTAACACTGCTTTCTTGAAACTTTCCAGCTTGCGTGTATGGTGCATTACATTCTGTCAGGGTTAGAATTCACTGAAACGCCTTCAGTAATACCAAACTTGAAAAGTCACTTTCAGATTCACAACAATGAAATATATTTCTCAGATTCGATTTGAATTATATTCCAGAAATATAAGAAAGCTGCTGGTCTACAACTGAACGCGGTCTTACGTTAAAGGTATATTTGAATACAAGAACTACGTGTTCCTAAAATTAGCGTAGTTTAATCATACGTACCTGTTATAATTCTTTATCTTCTAATTTGCGACAGTATTAACCTTAAGAATAAAACACACGCCATTTACACAACATTACATCACACTGCGTAACATACTGGCCAGTTGCCATTCTGTCTTGGAGACAGAAGGAACTATTTATAGTGGTGGGGCCCCATCACTATTACGGCTGTCATGTAATGTTGGAAGCTGAGACATAGCCTGCCTCAATATTCTATAATTTGAAAGCAATCTCATTCCTTTGACATCACAAAATCCTGTTTGAAGTATGTAACGAAATAAAACCATGAAGAAATAAATGGTGCATTTTTAATAGTTCGGAAAAAATACATTGTAGGGAAAGTACAATAACTCGTGTATGGAGATTAAAATGCATGCTATATGAAAAATGTGAATAAAAGTTGATCAGCTTCACGCCCCTGGGATAGAGCCCCCAATACTCACTGAAGGGCAGCAGGGTGGGCCCCAGAGACGGTCTGGTCGCTATGGGGCACACAAAAAATTTGCCCCCTATCCAGAATCGAACCCGTCGTCCAACCCGTAGCTATCCCATTTCCGAACTGAACTGAATATGAAAATTAAACTACATAGCAGATTCGCATCCCGGGCCAAACAACCTGTAATTCGTCCGGAACTTTGCCGTCTGGTAGCACACTTGACGCTCTTGACTACAAGAACCAAGACATATACGGTAATTGGCTGGCTATCGTGGCAGTACACCGTACTGTAACTGAAATCCCACGTAATGGAAGTGTGTTATGATTAAAACACGCTGTAATTGGAGGATTCATTTCGAGAAGTGTATCAGCGAAATACAATGTAACAAGTCCTGGATATTGTGGCATATAGACCCGTTGCTGTTATCTTTTTTTTATTGTTAGGCCGGGTACAAACTAGCGAGCTGTTGCATGTAACGTAACGGTTACAGTAACCACGTCTTCGTATGGACGACACGTCCATAGTCGTCATGTAACCAGCTTCGAGCGACCCGATCCATAGTGCTCGTGGTGAGCTCGCCATGAAGACATAGCGATTCGCAACGCTACTCCTGGCTCGGAGGAAACGTACACATTTACGAGCAAGCGATTGTGGCGTCCACGAGCCTACTGAGTCCCTTTGTGTTAGCAGCAAAAACCGACAAGGCAGTGGCTCGCCGGTCGTGTTACAGAGCGCGCTCGAAGTACCTTCGCGAGCGTGGTTCGAAAGGCGTCCACACTAACAGAATGTGGTTACAGTAACCGTTACGTTACATGCAACAGCTCGCTAGTGTGTACGCGCCCTTAGTGGGGTGGGGCTAAGTCCCTTGTACTGCGGCCACATCTGGCCTATTGTACCAGCCCCAGATGTTAGATGAGGGTGATTGTGGAGCAATTGGTGGAATGAAGATTGGCAGGGGAAACCGAAGTACTCGGAGGAAACCTGCCCCAGCGCCACTTTGTCCACCACAAATCCCACTTGACCAGACCCGGGATCGAACCCGCGCCGCGGCCCGGTCTCAGGCATCAATAATAGCGGGTCGTCGTATAAGAAAGAAGTTTACCGGGCCGCGATCTCGCGAAGGTTGAGAACCACTGCTCCATGTGGTCCATGCCGAGATGTTATGGATCAGGACGTTTGGAGCTTGAGTCGAAGGCAGAGGCCGTTACCAGGAAACACCTAGTAACAGACTGGGAACACTAAGACTGTGAGCTCTAGTGCAGTGTGTAGTGCTGATAATGTAGAGTATATAATGTGTATAAAAGTACAGTAGTCTACACAACAATATTCTTTATTTAAAAACAAAGTAGACACATGTTTCGACCCTTATAGCGGGACATCATCAGATGTACAGTGATATCAGTCTCAGCTGATTCAATAAAGATCCTAATTGCGCTCTTCGGTTCTTTAAATGCATAAATCGAATCTTTCAGTTAAAATTTAAAATACTTAGATAATAAAATTCAAATAATAAAGACTAAAGATGAAAACATAAAAATTAAATTTGTACAAAATGGATGTGAAATATTTGGTGATATATCGGTTTAAAACTTTGTGACTGCTACGTGTTGACTTGATTTGCTGGTGGTAGAAGCGACTACAGTGTGAGGCACCTGCATATAGGGATCTTCTCACATGTCAGGTCATGTGGTCTTGACCTTAGTATCCTCTTGTGGAGCTTATGCTCGTTATTCTGTATGTCACCCAACAGGTTGTTTACTTGGAGTGATGTATATTAGAGTTTCTTATGATGATATGTGTCGGCCGCACCATAGCTCAAGCAGTTAGTCGCTGGCTTCCCATTGCGGCGGCCTGGGTTCCATTAAGTGGGATTTGTGGTGGACAAAGCGGCGCTGGGGCAGGTTTTCTCAGAGTAATTCGGTTTCCCCTGCCAATCTTCATTCTACCAATTGCTCCACAATCACCGTCACCTATCATCTGGGGCTGGTACAATAGGCCAGAAGTGGCCACAGTACAAGGGACTTAGTACCACCCCACTATCAATAAAAAAAAATGTGTGCAGGCAGCTCCCTGTGTCGATGTCACATGAAGCTTACCACTCACCTCCAGCTAGTGCCGAGATCAAGAAAATGTGGATCTACACATCCACTCCCCCATACACCTTCATGGCATAATGCTTAATAAGTTAAGCTCAGGGACAATTTTACCTTACATTAATTTTTCAGAAAACATTTCACATCCATGTACTCTTAAATGCGGCCACTGTACACCTGCAGTGGTCAGCTTTTACTACTCTGTACTTGCATGCATGATTTCAAACAAATGTTCACTGTATTTACATCACAGAAGTATCAGCTAAAGTTCAGCAATTTTTTGCCACATTGAACTAACCTGAAAAGCTTCTTACAATAAAAGTAAAGATTAAACAATTTATCACATTTATGAGACCATTAATCTAGCATGGAACTTGCTTTCACTCATTGCCAAATGTATACTCCCTCAGCGTAACCTGTACAGACTATTAGAGCCATTCATTACCTACATATACACTGAGAAAAAGAAAAACCTCTGTGCATCTGCTGCTAGTATAAGAATTGTGGGCTATTACTTGCCATTTTTCTACATAGTTTTAAACTGAATCATAATTGTTAGATGCATTTTTAAAGAAAATCACTATTCAATAGATCATCAGTAAAGCTAGGAGTTTTATGTAATACCATTGTGCAGAATATGTACATAATTATGTAACAAAAACCTCTCAAATATGAGGATTTATTACAATATGTAACATCACATAAAAGTAATATTTAATTTTGCAAGCAACCTTTATTTACAATATTTTGGCAAAATCATTGACTTTCATGCACAATACACACTTAGAAATCTTTTCCATATTTTCTGGGGGCATTGGTTGTCTTTTATCTGATAGAATATGTCTGTAGGCTGACCTCACAAGCTGTGACTCTTGCGTTATTTTAACAAAGAAATTTTCTCAGGAGCAATGTCTTCAGGGAGATCTACATCATCTCTATCAAGTATCTGACAGACACTGGTGAATGTCGAAAATCCAGGGTTTCTCTTTAACACCGCCTGCAACTTGGTGGACACACTTTCACCAGCCTCCCCTTCACTGCACTATGCTTTTCACTTGCATTTTTCATTATGTCCATAGATACTTGCAGAGGAAGTCCCTGGATTTCTAAATGCAGTCAACTCTCGATTATCTGGGGGTGGATTAACCGGTTTGCGGCTTAACCGAGGCTACTGAGGCTTATGTTCAATATTCATTCACTTTTGTTTCACATGGTGAGTTGTAACACCATTTTCACACTAGTGTGAACCGAGCTCTGCATTCTTTGCTCCCGTTATGCGATAATTTGTGGAAAGTTTCAAGGACAGATACATCGCCCTAGTTACTATCTTTGTATCAATCTTCAAGTGCGTTAGCAAAATGTCAGGGTGTAAAAGGAAGCGTGTTGTGTTAAGTATTCAACAGAAACTTGAAATTATCAATCAGTCGGGAAAAAGAGGTGTAGTTAAACAATTAGCAATGCAATAGAGTATTGGAGAACAAACTGTTCGAGATTTGAAAAAACAAAAGTGAGAATGAGAAAGAGGTGGACAGTGCTGCTCTTAATCATTTTGAATCCTTGCTAGACTATCTTGAGAGTGAAGAGAACAGTCTATTAAGTGACAAGCTAATATTATGTAGGCTTCGTAGGGATATCCGTAAAGAGGTAAATGCCGCGAAAAAGCAAACGACAATATTAATTTTTTTAAGTGTTAAGTGTGAATATTCATAAAAAGTGTTGGATGTTGTTGAACACTGTGATTGAAATAACTAAGTCATACTTCAGTGTAATGTAAAAAAAGTATTAAATAGGCCATGAGATGACATAAAAATGAGGCTGAATAAATTTAAATACAGTAGGCCTACAGTATTATGAAGGTACAGTATTACAGTACTACTTTTAATAAAATTTGTCTTAACCGGGTTTTCGATTATACATGATTTCCATCCCCACCATTATCCCGGATAATCGAGAGTTGAGTGTGTTCTGCTCTCTGGAAGCCACCTGAAATTGCTTCGGATGTAGGCAATTGAATAAGTCACTTTTGGATCGCTAAATGCACTCCGGGATTCACACACAGAAAAAAGGAAGTGAGCTATAGTTGATTTCAGTTTCAAAGTGTTCATTGCTTGACTACTTCTGTCCAGGTTCCCCATCTTGCTGGCACTGGTTTGGGGGACAAGGGTGTCTGCAAATGCTGCTTATAGGATTGCACTCAATGTTTGGCTTCCAGAAACACTATTTTTTCAATCAAAATAAAAAAATTTCTGTTCACTTGGGAGAAATTGACTCTAACCTCCTCAGCAACACCTTGCAGTCCATGAGGCAGGCAACTGAAATGAATCAAATTAAAACACTCTCAACACAGTTGTAGCTTTCAGCATATGCTGCAGTGTCTGAATACAAAATAAGTACCTCCTTGTGAACTCTGGTGGGCCACAGCACTAAGTCCATCATTCACAAATCATGCAACATTGGAATGATTTGTATGTTACAGAACTTTGGAGTAAATCAAATGTGGATAAAAGGAACTTTAATGTCTGACTTGCCAGCCACAAAGTTCGTGATAAAGCGACCCACGGAATCTGTTTCGTTCGCAGTAACCCATATAAAGGCATCTCCTATGTTACCTCTTTATGTAAACCCTGTGGAGGCGGGGTCGAATACCTCCACCATGACCCTGCGAGTCCCAGGAGGCGACAAAAAGGGAAGTCTCAAATCTGAGACAGTAAAATATGGTCACGAGTCCCAAGGGACTCAGATCCGAGAAAGACTGCACTGGCAAGGGCCAGCAGCATATACAAAAGACAGACCCGTCCTCTCATCAGAGAGGGCGCCCCACAAAAACAAGACCATAACTGTCAAAGAGTAATAAATATCTGGTCGTGAGCCTCAGATGGGGCTCGACACCAAGACTTACTAACTGACGGTCAGTCGCAATGTGACTTTGCCTTTGATTCTTTATATTTTTCAAGGTTTCTTCATAGCAGATACAAAATGTTGCTTCCAGGACTTTTCCAAAAGGGCTGAAATTCGGGCATTTTGAGTTCAAACCAGGAAATGTTCATATACCATCCAATTGCACATATCCTTGAAGAATTTATTTCTTGATGTTGAAGATTGCTGCGTCTGTGTTAAGAGCACTTGCTTCTTTGAAGAACTCAGTTGCTTCTTCTTTGTATGTATGGCGCTTTGTACATGTTGCTCCAACTGTGATTTCATGGAACACTCTATAATTTCTGAGCATTTACATAGTAGGAAATAAAATATTTACATAAAAATCCAAGCTCTAGTCATCAGTTATTGTGTTCTTAGCATCCAGTGAGTTCCTTGTTATCTCCAAAAACTAAACAAATTTTACTATAACAACTTCATTCACCCACCTATTCCCTAATTTTTATTCATATAGTTGGTCATACTTTATCAGTTTTTTCTAAGGTGACTCATCTCATACAAATATTAAGGCACTTTTTTGTGGTACATGACAATTAGCGAAATGTGAGGAAACAGCCATAGTTACTGTGCAATGTAACATTCTATGGCATGGTCACATCCCTGCAGACAGCATATTAATTTTCTATGTTTCTATGTTTTGTTGTTGGATAGACTCAAGGCTTCTCAGGAAACCTAATAGCTTTCATCTTTAACCTGGTCTCCGTGAGGGAACTAGAGGCAAACTATGGAGGGCTGGTTCTCAAAGACTGGACATACAAAGGCTTACTGCAGGGTAGTGTTCTGAATCCAACCTTATATTCACTTTATATGGCCACTGGGATCCGTTGTGCTGACCAAGCGACACCCTATACCAGCTAAAGTTGGCACTAACTTTGCCGACAAGCGGCAGTTGCTAGGTGGGTATAGTTCGTTTGCGAACTCAAATTACGGAGTTTTTCCTGAGAATGCAACATTTCAAACTGTACAAAACATAAGTCATGATTCTATAGTTTATTTCTTAATACATCAATATAATTTTTGCTACTCTGTAGGCATATGTTAAACTCATTCTCTTTAACAGTCATTTACTGGCTCTGGGTCCCACCCAGACTTCTTCAAAGGGTTCTGAAGATTCTTGCCCCAGGGATAATTGCTCATATAAAATTTTAACAAATATAAACGGAAGATGGGACTTGGGAGAACTGTTTGAAGACTGGAAGATAACATTAAAAGAGATGTAAGATTTGAGGCTTTCACGGCGGTGACTATGAAGAAAGCAATCTTCTGGGATTTGGCACCGTCTATATGTGGGTTAACACCACATATACACGGTGCCAAATCCCAGAAGATTGCTTTCTTCATTAAAAGAGATCTTGGAGAAATCTGGTGTGAAATCTGAAATTGTGAATTTGATTCATTAATGAGACATGGAGTGCACTGCAGGTTCTTGTGAACACGATATTGAATGTTTCGGTTCCATAAAAGCTGGGAACTGTTTGAACACCTGAGCAGTGATGAGCTCTTAATGAAAGACTGCACCATCAGTTAGCCAGGAGGTCAGTTCATGGGTCAAATGAGAAAAAGCCAAAGGACTTCCTAAATTATTGTGACGTGTTGCGCTATGGTAACAGGCAGGTCAACACCCTCCCAATTTTCAATTTTGGACAGTTTCTAAAAGAAAACATTTCAACACTAATCTACAATATCCAAAATTTTCAGAACTAAGTTTACAAACTGCAATTATTCTGCAAGGTAGTCAAGTTTAGAGAGTTCATGTGAGCATTGATCTGCAAACATTCATTGCATTTTATGGTCAGACATCTGCAGTAAATCATTTTTCCATAATTTTTTTTTTAATTCATTTAGTAGAGGGTGGAGTCCAACAGGTCCACTCAGCACAGCGGCCACTGATTGGCATATTGTAGCCTGCCCCGGGTGATTATGATGAAGAATTTGGTGGAATGAAGATTGGCAGGGGAAACCAAAGTACTCAGAGAAAACCCGCCCCAGCGCCACTTTGTCCACCACAAATCACACTTGACCATACAGGGGATCGAACCCAGGTCGCCGCGATGGGAAGCCAGCAACTAACCACTTGAGCTATGGTGCGGCCATTCTTCCATGATGGTACTGATTTACGTCTCTATCCATATGCTGTTGTCAAAATGCCATACAGTGAAACCATGGCAGAATGTGAAAAAAAATCAGCACTATCAATTTCTTAGCAATGAATATGTGGAAAACTTTTTCTGACACTTGTCATAATAAGAAATTTCATAGCTAGCAGTTAGTAAGGATGTCATTACATCACACCCTGTGCATCTCTCCTGTCTGGGACAGGAGTTTGCATTCTACAATCTGCATATTATATTTATGAATACAGAACTTAGTTGACTTTGAGGCAGAACTGCTCAGAATGCACGTGCACAGCCGTTCTAGTATGCCACTAAGAAACATCACACAATCACAGTAGAAGCGTAAATTTTCAGGACTGCATTTATCATGTTTTGATGATTTCAAGATCAAGCCACCTTCTAATTGCAGGTAACCATAAGCACATCATTCAAGCCCTTTAGCTCACTGCTTGTTCCGTGTCATGTTACAATGACACTTGTGAATTCTCTTTTATTGTGCTGTGCATTACGTTACAAAGTGCTCAACCCTGATTATGGCAATGAAATGGAAGTCCCCAAAACTTGATAACATACAGCTCTGAAGTGTGACATGGGAAGACAGCCCGGACTGACATTCATTTAGCAGACAAAGGCAAATGACCACTTGATATGTGATAGAAGACCAGTGAAGAAACAAAAATGGAACAGAGTCAACTACCTCATGAAGTTTCAGCATTTCAAAGTGTGGCTTTACTGTTTCCAATCATGGAAGGAGTCTGCTGTGTACCATAATGCACATGAGTTCGCTCATCTATAAGCTGTGCTTTGCAGGTGCACAGCAAATAGGTGTGAACGCTTGTAAAAGATCACTTGTCATAAGTGGCTGTGTACAAATTCTTACATTGTATAAAATCAATTAGCAGGATTTATTCAATGGTACCTTTTCTTTACCAGATTAACAGTGCATCCAAAATGATTAAGGATCATAAGACTTGCTGGATGAGAGTATTGGGCATAAACGTGATTTTCATTATTCTCCACTAGTTATGTTCAACACAATTTTTGCTTATATTTAGTGACACTTGTGAGGTGCGCATAAATGCCTGTTATTCATGTAAAATGTCCATCACTGTCCAGCAGTAACCAAACTGTGCACTGATAAATTTTTGTAAAACTCAGTATCAATTTCATGAAAATACATTTAGCAGTTCTCACATTCTTATGCTGACAGGCAGAAGGATACCCAAATATGGCAGTGAACACACTTAACACTTTGCAGACCGGCAATTTAAATATTTAAATCACCTGGAGGACCAGCATTTTTTTACTTACTACTGTAACTTGTGCACTGTTCACTTTAAAAATGAATATAAAATCTCCTAATTAATTTTATGAACTAAAATTTTTGGAGAGCACTTACCAATGCTCCTAGAAGTGCTTGAGGCTGTGATGTTTCTCAAAACATTCCCCTCTGTGAAGTGGCATTACACACTTGCAAATGTAGACACACCACATTTCAGGGATTTACATTCCTCTTTCAGATCTGTTCACCCTAATTGTTCCACAAACATGTACTTTTCTTGAAAGTAGGTGTTCTGCAGTTGCCACACTGTTATAATAATTGTCTTGATAGACATGGTAATTTTGATCAAGATAGGGTTCCAAAATGGAAAGAATAGTTTCTTGTAATTTATTTCCTTCACCAGAATAAAATTTTAAATTTCCAATATAGCCTGAAGTGCTTTCAGTAAATACACGAACATGTAGGCCATACTTTGTCAGTTTCCCAGTATTATATGTTCACATATTGCACTACTCACTGACAGCTTGCTACGTACAGCTTGAAGAAATAAAAGGCATTTATTTTCCTTTGCAGGGGCATACAGTTACAGAGAGTTCACGTAACTGATTAGTCAGCAAACATTCCAGAGGCTTATCATGCAGCTGCAGGCAGCTACCTGCAAGCTGGGTGGTGCCAGAGCGATGTATAGTGTGTTGCAACTTATCGTGTTCTAAAAACGTATTAATATGTGACCGGTCCACCACGTTTAAAAGCGAAAAACGTATTAATGCATGCGTGGTCCGCAAAGTGTTAAAAAGAGCAAATGGCTGCTATACATATTCATTTTTAAATCTTAGCGCCACAGAAAAATAAAAGTAAGTAGATGTTAAGATAGACTTGAAAATGATGTATTTCAAACATTTTCAGATACTCCGGGTATCCATCAGGATGAACATTTTTATGAACTGTGAGTTCAGCTGATTTAATTATCTGGTCACTTCTGTGTTTTACATATTTCTTTCCTCCATCTCCCTATAATTTCACTTTCCTCAGTAAAGAGTTTAGCTTCTTTAACTATATGATCACCCTTCTGTATCCTTGTTTTGTATTTCTCTTCTTAAACACTGATTGAAGTGGTTTCATGAGGTGTACAGCTACATGTACACTCCATGCTCTGCCTAGAAGTTGTTGTCGTTTGCTTATCCCGAGGTTACCAGTGTCTGTGTAATGGGTTTCAAAACCAAAGACTCTTTCCAATTCAGTTATCCACAGTGTGTCTTCCTTCCCATTCATTCTCACAGGATGTGTCATTGTCTTGCCTGAAATATCAAAACAATCCCAAAGTTGATTATTGGTGTAAAAATGTCAATGTGGAGGGGGGTTCCCTATGGTTAAAAAAATGTCACTTTCCTATCCCCAAATTCCTGACAATTTCTTTTTAATGTCAGTCCACTGAACAGTCTCTGTAATACTTTTTTTTACAATATTTCATTAACCTAGAGCATTTTTAATTTTGGGTACATATTCCATTCCAGTTTCTGAACTCACTGGCACCACAAATCAGCACCTCACAAGCAATGAAATTAATGGCAGTAAATAACACATAACTTCAGAAATTATGATAACAAGGATACTGGCCAATATATATAATGCAGTAACATCCAATTTTGCTAAAAGGAATGTAATGTTGCCCGAACATGACCAATGTGGTTGAAACATGGTGTCACAACAAAATATTGTATGTAACTGACACAGCTGTGTTCCAAGGTTGTGTGGATGGAAGATGACACAACTGACATGATATCATGGTCAAGTAACATTTGTGCTGTATATTTAGCAGTCCTGGGCCCGGAAACTGTATAACCACATAAAATTCAGTAAAAATTAGAATCTGTTTGAACTGTGAAGTACCATTTTGTTTCATGCTTCCACTCCAGGTCTAGCATTCAGTGCACAACTGTAATGCCGGCTCTGACATATTTGAGGACAGTAAAAGTGCCTTCCATAATTCAATAAAGGTGGGAAATACTGTGCAGATTGGCTGAAGTGATACACATCTCACTTGTACATGAGAAGTGCCCAGCTTGCATCTTGTAACCGTACTTCCCTCACTTAAAATTGTTTAAACAGTGGCTATGAGAATTCCACTTATTAATTCTACAGGAATGAGATACATGCCTGCAGCGAGGTGCCATCCTAAAATATAATATTAAAAGCAAGTGCAAACGACTTTCGGACAATAAAACATGGAAACTTGTAGCAAACTTATTAAAAGTCAAAAGGCAATCCTAGATAACAAAGAACAAATCAAAGTGATGGAAGGGATCAACGATACAGGGAGTGAGAGAGAAATGAAGGAGCAAATTTACGGACCCAGAATAAACGGACAAAATGTGCAGAAAAGGAGACATGACAGTACAGTAGCCTGGAAGATTTTTTTATCCTGCATGGAAATGTTTGAGGACAGAATGATGAGAAAGCTTCAGAAACAAAGTGATAATTTGCCATCTTTGTGCAATGACATGATAGCACTTCAGGCTTTAAAAATGTGACAGTCAGATGTATGCAAGAGGGTATCCACATTAGAGACTAAAGTGACAGTTTTGAGGGACATGACGGAATAATAACAGACTAAAGTAAGTTCAGAAATTGAGAAGATTAATAATAAAGCAATGAATGAGTGTGAAAAATTACAGGATCAGTTTGAACTGTTCAAGAATCTGAATAAAGGGAATTAACACAGTAACATCATGCTTGACAGCTGTCAAACTGACATTTCAAGTGGACATGCCCTCTCGAACTGACGTGTAAACACCAGTAGTGTCAATAGCCATATAAACGGTGGACCGCAAATTAATAGTGTAAGCGGTGCAAGTCTAGGCGGAGGCCCACCCTGTTTTTCCCCTCAATAATGCTGTAACTAAGGAGATAGTATATACTGGGAATTTGTCGAAGGGACCCTGGACAGCACACTTCACATAGCTTTGCTGACCTTTGAAGGCCTGCTGGAACAGAATGACAAAGCTCATTTAAATGCACTGGTGGGATGTATACAGATTAAGATTTTCCCTCCACCACTTCACTTAGCAGTAGTGAGACACTCTCTGAATGGCATTTCAGTCACCACCTAGACTCACGCTATCTGGTATCAATTGAGAAAACATTCAATGATTTCTGGGATGTGTTCCTAGACAAACTCTGAAGCCTAGTGTCAAGCCAAAGTTAGTTCAGAAATCTATCATGACAGGTATGATCAGCGAGGAAAGTTAAATTACTGCGACCACTTGTTGAAATACGCCACCAAAGCCAAGTACTTAGAATGCCCAATGTCTAATTTCAAATTACTAAACGCTTTAAAGGAGCATTATCCCATCAGCATGAGGAAAGCGTAGATTGTCGCTAAACCACGGACCTTGCAAGATGCAGAAGCATTCTTATCTGATGCGATGAGCCTTGAAGATAATCAGGAGATGCTGGCGCTGGAATGACCCGTATACCAACGATGTGATAATTACCATAGGCAGCCTTCAGACCCACGAAATGACCACCGAGGGAGCTGGAATAGGAACCAAAGGCACACAGGGAGATATGAAAGTGGACCCGACAACCATAACGCTTATAGAAACCAGGAGTGGCAAGGACAAATGAGCGATCGTGGAGAAAACAGAAACTACAACCTAGACAAAGACAGGAACAGGAGGAATCAAGCCGCGGCTGTGTCCACCCCTTCATACGGCATGAAAAAGACCGGTAAGAGGAAAACATAATTTAGGTGCTATTGCGCCCAATAAGGCATCTACTGACACAACAGAGGCTGACCTAATTGAATATGTGGTTATGGCATGGAAACTAAGGATCGATAAGACCGGTAAGAGGAAAACATAATTTAGGTGCTAGTGCAGCCAATAAGGCATCTACTGACACAACAGAGGCTGACCTAATTGAATATGTGGTTATGGCATGGAAACTAAGGATCGACAAGACCAGTGGGAGGAAAACATAAGTTAGGTGCTAGTGCAGCCGATAAGGCATCTATTGACACAACAGAGGCTAACCTAATTGAATATGTGGTTAAACACCTGAATAAGCAACAAAATCCATTTAAACTATTCGCAGCTTCAGGCGAGAATTAAATTACTTGTGACGTGTTTACTTAATTAAAGCCGGAGAACGGATGAACTGCTCGCATGTTAGAGTGGCATTTGGAAACTTTAGTTGTGACATTATCATCGATACTGGATCCCGGGTATCAGTATTATCTGAAGAAATTTATCAGAAGCTCAAACTTCATGGAGAGCCCATGCAAGAATTGCCTGTGCAATTGGTGGTACACATGAGCGCTTTTGGGATCAAGATTTTGAGGGTAAGTTTGAAAATAATTTTCTTATCTGCTCTCAGCTTGTCAGTCCAGGTTTACTGGGTGCTGATTTTTGTGTGCTTATATATTTTCAAATGATTTGGGAGCAAGCTGCATGGCATGGAAAATGCCAGGCGAAGAACTAAGGATAATTATGTACCCATTAAGGCACAACAGATCACTGTGGATGCGGTGCAAGGGCCAAGAAGGCCCACCCCTTATACATTCATTCATACATTCAAGTACCCATTTCTGCAAAACTACGAGCCTTTTAAGAGTGGCAAGATGGGAACTTCGACTGAGGGGATGATGATGATGATGAAGACTGTATTCAAAGAGTTTCTTGCAACAGGAGAGTATTGTTATAACCGACTGTCATGAAGACGCCATCTTATGAAGAGAAATGACGAGATGCAAATGGGTACGAAGTGACTGGCTATTCCAAAAACAAGGGGGAGGACGCCGTCTCTGACCACGGCAAAATAAAAAGGGAAGGACATAGAGAATAACAATGAGGCGTCAATTGATGATGAAATGGAAGAGGATAATGTTGATAATAACCTGAGGCCTAAGAAAGTAAGTCAGGGGGAAACGCTGGGAGAGCAACCCGTACAACGTTCTTTGGAGAGTGAAGATGTGATCAGCTGAACTTTGGGAACTATGGGAACTTTGAACCCAAAGCAGAATATGGAAGTGGAGATCTTGAGAAAAATCAGTTCCCAACAGTGTCAACTATGACGTGCTGCAAAAATAGAGACAGACATAAACTGACTTGAAGTCAGCGAAAAGCGTGAGTAAACAAAGTTACAACTCGTCAAAATATTTGACAGCAGAAGTCTTCATCCCAATTTTCACCGCACCGTGTTCCACCAATCATCTTCACCAGTGTCAGTCAACCTTCTTCAACCACAGAATCACCCAGAGTAGCTTCAGGCAGCAAACGTGCTCGAACTTCATACACTAGTTCACAGCTAACTGAGATGGAACAAGAATTCCGAAAGATCAATTACCTCTGCCATCCTTGTCGTATCAGTTTAGCAATGCCTTCTAATGTCTCAGCGCACCTGGATGTGGTTTCCGAACTGGAAGAAGAGGAAGAAGAATCAAAATGGAGTCATAGGCATCTCAGGATCAAAAGTTACTTCATTCTAATGCCGAGATGATTTCACGTCATGTATCCACCTAACTGCATGGACTGTCGTTAAACCACGGACCTGGCAAATGCGGCTTGTGGGCTACCAGTGTTTATATGTCTAATTTTGATCTTGCTGTTTTGAAAATACTGGGACATGCCCATGGACAGAAATATGGCCTTCACCAAATGTCATAGTGAGACACTCTCAAAATCAGTGTCAGTGTATCACTTATGAGGTTATGAAGAGATTTTCTGGCATAATAATGTAGTGCATTTATTTTTGGTAAGGCCAAGAGTAATCATTGATTTCACTGTTGTTAAAATTGTGTCAATTTCAATGTATGGCTGCTGCAGTGGCAAGGTGGCAAGTTAATTTTGTTATAACTGCCTATTGTTAAATCTTTATATTGTCCAAAAGTTTTTCCAATTGTTGAGAGAATATATATGGATAAATACCGTCTTAAGTGCAACAAATTTTATTGTAATTTTTACTTCTTTTCCTCCTCCACACTACATGTTTCGGCCCTAAATGGCCATCATCAGGTGTGTATCACTCACGTAGCTGTTACACTGCTTGTTAAAATTTAAAATTACCAGTCTTTCTAATTGTATAAAATCTTTGTTAATCTACACGCGTCGATTTGATTTTTAAATTAGCACTTTTTAAAACTTAATTCAAGTTAAAATGTCTATAAGATCTCTGTTCTTTCTTTTTCAAATTTTTAGTTAAAATTTTTCAGGATACATGCCCTATATCTACGGTGCTGCAGCGGCCACTTCTTGTTTTTATCGTTGTTCATGTGTTGTTCAGTGTAGGCGCTCTCTGT